CTACATAGAACAACAGAATCCTAAGCACTAGAAAGTCTCTCATTCTGTCAAGTGGAGACGCGGGAGATGCACATGTGCTTGCACACACACATGCACAAACACAAACCAGTACATTACACTTCACTGCAGGAATGCTAATATCTGCTTTAGCTTAGATTGCTCTAAAGTTTATCAGATTTGTAATAATGGCACTCAATACTGGGCTTAAAGTAAATAAAATGCCATGGTTTCTGAGAAACTTCAGTAGAGCAACTAACGTTAGCACCTCATTTGCATTTAACAGCCTTGACTCACCCACCTCTACACACAAGACACTGAAACAGTAACTATTGACTATTGTGGCAGAGCTCTGACCTTGTCCCCATGGGTCCTGCGCTTCTAGGCAGTATATGCTAGCCTCAGTGGCTCTCTGTGACCCTCCACATAGCCCTTCTCTCTCTAGGGCCAGGGTTACAGTCTACTGAGCCCTTTTCATCATAAGCCAGCAAGGAGGTTGGTGAGAGAACTCCCACAGTCTCTGTTGTCCCTAGGGCTTGTTTTAGAACAGTTTAGCCTCCTGTCATGACAGGAGGCTAGACATCCCCTCCCAGGAGGTATTCCTGTAGTGGTGGGAACCCAGGCCCGCCCTCTACTTCAGGTTCCGGCCCAGGGACACTAATGGTAGCAGCTGTTGGCAACCAACCTTTCACTGCCAGAGTTGCTACATTTCTCTGGGCCACTTCCCCACAGCTCTCCTGCTTCTCCCTTCTTCACCCTTACCTTAGGGCTCCCTTATCAATAACTTAAGGGTGTCTTCATTGACCAGCCTCACTGCCTTTCCCCTGGTTCTCCTCTGCCTGACTGGAGTGAGCCCTTTTTATAGTATCAGCGGGGCCTTAATTAGAGTCAGGTGGTCACATTAGCTTAATGCCCTCACCTGACTCTTAGCAGGTTAATTGGAGTCAGGTGTTCTCATTAGCCTGGAGCAGCCCCTGCTCTGGTCAGTCAGGGAACAGAAAACTGTTAATCCAGTGGCCAGTATATCTGCCTTCTGCTATTCTGCTGTACCCAACTGGCCTGGGTCTATCACACTATCTAAGAACACATTTGGTACTTTGATTTGGAAGCATAAACTGAATTATATAGGTAGAGCAAAATTAAGATGGTGCTTGCTCATGATGGAAACCTCTAAGCCGGGGTCGGCAACCTTTCAGAAGTGGTGTGTCAAGTCTTCATTTATTCACTCTAATTTAAGGTTTTGCGTGCCAGTCAGACATTTGAAGGTTTTTAGAAGATCTTTCTATAAGTCTATAATATATAACTAAACTATTGTTGTATATAAAGTAAATAAGGTTTTTAAAATGTTTAAGAAACTTCATTTACAATTAAATTAAAATGCAGAGCCCCCCGGACTGGTGGCCAGTACCTGGGCAGTGCGAGTGCCACTGAAAATCAGCTCACGTGCCACCTTCAGCATGCGTGCCATAGTTTGCCTACCCCTGCTCTAAGCATTTGAGTGCAAATCCTCTGTTCCCACCATATGTCAGACCAGCCATGGAGCTAAGATTGCCCCCTGCCCACTATAGGCATTACCAGTTTGCTGCTTATTGTCTGACTGACTGGCTAAGGAATGTTGGTTACATTTGGTAGGAGTTACTTGCACTGTAAGAATGGTGCCAATACCATTCAGTGAATTGGCAAGCAAGAGACTATTGTAAATAGATTTGTCATTCAAATAGGCCGACAGTTCATTGTACCTTAGCTTCACTAAAATGGAGATTCCTGACCTGAATCTGCTCTAACTTATTTCAGTGTAAATCAGGACAAACTCCATAGAAGTTAATAGAATTACACTGGTGTGAGAACAGAATCAGGACCTGAGGAGGTACAAGATTGTTTCTACTCTGGCTTCTGATTGTCCCATTGTTCTACCATTAGTTTATATAACAGGTAGAAGCTAAAGCCTCAATCTTGCTTTCTTTAAAGTGACTGGAAGAGAGGAGTTTTGCCATTGACTTTAGTGGGAGCAAGGTTAGCTTCTGCATTGCAAATAGTAAAGCATTAGGCAACCATTTTAATATCATTGTGGAAAGTAATTAGATCAGTATGTGCAGTATTTTACCTTTCCTCAGGGAGTTACATACAGTACCTTGACTGGAAGAGGTGACAGATTTAACCTGATTGAATCATTAAATGGAAATATAAGTCAATGAACATTAGCCACTTAGTTCATTTCATAAATTCTAATAATTAAAACTGCATGTACAATAATAAAGACTATTCCAGATATCTAAAAGGATAAAAATGCATCCTTGATGTGTCATGGCACCACCATAATGAAAACATTTAGTTAATGGAGGATCTGTGTAATAAAAGTGACCATACAGAACCTGCAGGTGGAAATATATAAACACATTTCCCAAAAGAATTTCACCACTTCACAATTCGTTATGAAAATCTGCAATAACTGACAAGATAGGCACAAAATGGATTTTCATGTTGCTGGGATGAATTATGGCTCCCAGCAATTAATGTTTTTAGTCATATTAAGCAGATAAATAATGCTATCTGACATTACAGTATTTCACATTACACTAAAATTTTGTAACATTTGCTCATAATCGAAATTGAAATATGTTACCTAGAAAAAATATGTTATATCTGGAACAGTCAAACCCCATTAGAAACCTTAGGTTTGAAAAAATCACAATGTTAACAGTTATATCCCCTAGCAAAGGTTTGCTTTCCTTAAATAGTGTTAAATTTAAACCCAGAAGCTCTAGTCTCTTTTAGAGTTACTCTTTCTTAGTGCATTGAGGTTGAAAGGAGGATTTAGTACACAAAATGTACTCTGTATTACTGAGCCTTGGTAAGTGAAACTTAAAAGAACTGCAGAAAGAAGAGAAGCCTTTAGAATGAAATTGTAAGCTGCCTTTCTAAATACCTTTTAAATATTTAGTAAAGCAAAATGTAAATGTGCATGGTCATGTTAAGGTTATTCACTAATATTGATTAGCTAATTATTTTAATCTAGTTTTAATCAGGTGATGAATTTTCTCCACAAATGGACATATTAACATCTATTTAGCATTTTCATTTATTTGACTTAAATCTTTCGGTAAAATTTCATAGGCCTAAGCTTACAGGCCATACTCATGTGAGTAATAGAGCCTACTTTTGTATTTGGATATTACATGCAGAATTAGAAATTCAGAAGACACTGGGCTGCAGAATTGTGTCCTGTTTGATCTTAGTACTCTCAAATATCCAAACAATATACAGGAGAAACTTTGTTTGCTTGTCAAAACTCACATGCAGCGCTGTATGAACAGAATATGGTATATTCAGCAGTGTCATGTTTGGATGAAGACATTGATGCCCCATGTCTCAGCTCCAGCCCCCATTTGAGGGTTTTTTGTTTTTAAAGAGCATTTTGTGTTAAACATGTAGGAGATGCAGTAGAATTGGCATGTGTTATCTGTGTGTGCGAAGCATTCCAAAGTTTTTTTTTAAATCGAAATCTCAATATGAAACCACTATTCAAGATGAACACTCCCAGAGATGTTTATGACTAATGAAGTATGCAGTAATGTGGCTACAAAGTCAAATAATAAACTAAACACTGCAGAGAAACTCTGTTTCTGTGCCAACACCCAGTTTTATTGTTTCACAGATAACATTGCATGGAAGCATCACTTTGACTCATGGGTACTGGAAGAGCAGAGACAAAAGTGTTTGCTTGTGGCTTATCACATTTTGTCCTACTGCATTTTAGTGTAAGTAGCCGGGGTTTTAACAGACATTTTAGGCAGTGTCATAGTAAGGCAGAAACCAAGAAGCTACAACATGTTATCGAGATTATCTATACTAGCCAAAACTAGATGGAATCTGGTTTGAATTGAAACAGAGGATGACCTAAAGTGCACTTGTTCTCTGAAAAGTGACCCTGTAAAAATGACATTGTTTATGGAAGAGGTGGTTCCAGGGTTGCCTTTTCAGCAATTTCCAGAACAAATCTGCTCAGTTTACAAAAAACAAAAACAACCAAACAGAAAAAACACACACGGATCTGTCAGAGATAAAAGCTGTGTTCTTTCTGGCTCACTGTATTATTACCAGTGTATGACTATGCAAGGCAGATTATACCCCCAGTGATACCCATGCATGCCTTGTATACCTTGGAGTCACATGGTTATAACTGAAGAAAGAATTTGAGCCTAAATTTGGAACTTAATTGACAATTCTGTTGACTGATAATGCATAAATCAGAACAGACTCCAGCTCATTCTCCCATAGCTGCATTGGCTCTGCATTGCCAATTGGAGTAAAAAGGAGCCCAACTTTTCTCTGTTGTTTTAACTCTCCAGATATAATTCAGAATATGCACAGGGGGAGAAATTCAACCTCATGCAGAGGATTAGAACAAGGCCTTTGCACCATTGAATAAAATGGTGCCATTTTTACATAGTCACTATTAGTCACTTTTCAAGGTAGAAATGTGTTTTTTAAGGATTTTTCCCCTCTGGCCTAGATTATCACTTTTTAATTTTTTAGCTGGCCTTGAAATAAATTTGCATCCAAATATAATATCCCCAAATGTGAAGTCACCAGCAGAATGACTCTGCCCAGTGTTTAAAATGGGGGTTTTCAAGCTTTTTTCAAAACATGGAGCACACATCCTAGAGGGAATGTCTGGTGGATGCCTCTCCTGCCATTCACACGTGTGGATAAATACCACTGCCACTGGTGATCCAATTAGAACCTACTGCTAACTACAGCAATTGTTTACATGTAACATAAATCACACTAAAGGAAGCTAAAAATATATTATCAGCTGGAAATAAGAAGGAACCATGGCACGTGTCCAGCCAGCTCTCTGTAGGCCACCAGCAAGTGCTTCATGGTCTATCTATGGTCTGGAGACCACAGTTTTAGAAGCTACTGTTTAAAAGCTTGCTGTTGGTTCCTGTCTTTACTTCCCCCTCCCACATGACTCCTCTATTAACATTTCTGCACCTTCATAGTATCAAAAAGAAAGTCATGGTTTTATTGTGCATGTCAACTCAATACAGGGGCTAAAAAACCCACACACATGTATATAATAAAGAACAGCTCATATTATACAGTAAAAAATGCAGCCATATGGAAGGTTTACTGTTCTAAAGGAAAACCATCCACCTATGGTACAATTTGGTGATATAAATGTGTGTGTATATATACAAACCAGCACTTTAAACCACATGCATCCCTGATGCAGCACAGAGGAGAACAGAAGGCCCATAATCTCAAGAAGGGTCCAGAGGGTAGATGTCTCATTTCTTTTCCACGTGACATGAATGAGTCAGCAAAGGCCCTACATAGTAAAAGTGGAGTGTGTCGCTCATACGAAGTGTGGGATGAGTTGAAAAACAGGTCCATGTGCCATAATTCTTCTCAGGAAACAGCATAACCAACAGCCCACCAGCCATCCCATATTACCTCTGCTGTTAGTAGTAATAATTGTCAACATGAACTCTATTGTCCTCATGAAAGAACAACCTTGGGGTGACAGCCAGTGTGACAGATGTGCTGCTACTGATTAGTGAAAGGGAACTGGGGGCAGTGAGTAGTTGTAGGTGTCACGCTCAAATGGTTAAGATCCATAGGGCTGGTGCACATGCCTGTATTCCAAGAGGTCTTATTCATTCAGCACCTCTGGACCCAACCAGGAGGAAAGACTACAGCATGGAGGAAAAAAGGTGATGGCTCTTATCAAGTAAAATCTCTCCTTTACATGGGAAAGGGAGAATATGATTCTAAATTCTTAGTTACTTTTTTTTTAAAAAAAACCCACTAAACTTGGAATCTGTTTAAACATTCAATAAGCTTCTTCCTGATCAAAACTGCATTTCCCTATAGGAAAAACAACTGTATTTAAAGAAAATATGAAAAACTTCTGATGAGCCTAAGAACTAAGTCTTAGACATTCATTGCCAAAGTGATACTGCAATCTATTCAGAATCGTGAGGGGTTTTTAAAAATAAAATCGTAGTGACTAACTCCTGCATTTAATGGTGCAGAGTAAGAGGCTATTTCTACCCCGTTTCTGAGGTAATAAGCTGCTTTGTTAAAAACATATTGGTGCAAGTTATTCAGCTGGAAAAAACCACAGTGACGTCATTAATGTGGTGAGAAACTGAACAGTCTGTGGCACACTGAGTTGTAAAAAATATCATAGTTCATCGTGATTTTTTGTTAGATCTTCCCCATAATTGGTAGCTTGGCTGCCAACAAACATGTTCCAGTTCTCTAGAATCTCCTCTTTGGTTAACTTTTGATCCTGGGAGGGAAAAAAAAATTAAGTCTCTATTAGAACATTTTAAATACCAGGTAAAACATCAGTACAGATTTCCGAGATGCCCAGTAGGAGAAAATTTTCCAAAGAGGCTGCAGACAGTGGGTGAAATGCTGGCCCCTAGTGGAAGTCAATGGCATAATCCCAGTGATTTCACTAAGGTCTGCATTTCACTCAAAGTATTTCATAATTAACTGATTCCAACACAGAACTTTCAGCAGTAGGAGTGTGCCGCTTGTCTACTTGTGCAACCTCACCTATGTTTTTAACTTTTCCTTTTTGATTATTAATATGGAAAATATTTTGTCTGTTTGGTTTTGGTGATGATGATCACCTACATTTAATAACTGAAGTGAAATCCTTCTAAATTCAGCTCTGTATAAGGGAGTCTTGATCTTCCAAACTCCAGCAGTGGAGCATCAGCAGGATTGGAGAGAGGGGAACAATCCTGCTGAGCAATGGCTCCTATCCAGGTGCTGCTGAATTATTTGTCCCCATCGTAGTGGCAGAAGGGATGGGCCAGACCTTAAGCTGCAAATCTGTCTTATTTCTTATAGTCTTCTATTTTTATCTCTCTCCTATTTATCTCTTAGTCCAGTTTAATACATAAATGTCCATGCCCCCTTTCAAAAGAGAAAAATCTATCTTAGAATTTTTGGGTGTAGGGACATAGGTTGGAAAGCTCTCTAACAATAGGACAGCCAATGCGCCTACCTGAGTTCATAGTTATTTTATCAGCTATTTCTTGTGGTTTATAACTTTTATCAACTCAAATTTATTTTGTTGCAGTAAGGCACTAGCAAAACCATTTTTATCATCTGAAGCTCTACTCAGACTGTACTAATAAGAAAAGTCATTAAGAATAATCTCTTGCTGGCTGACACTAAAGGGAACCAGTTAAACTCTTAATCTAACATTTATGAAATATACCAGAGCAATGAGTACCTTATCTACGTCCGATTCATAGACTAAGTGCCTGGCTTCAGCTTGTGCGTGATCATAGTCTTGTGGGAGAATCCAGTGCCGAATCTCCTCTTTATCCATCTTCCCATCCTTGTTTATATCCCGAAAATCTGAAAACTGCTCACGTTCAGTAATTACCCAGTCAGGTTCGGGTCCACCTTCCTCATGTGCAAACATATCAGCTGGAGGGGAAACAAAGGTTTCAAAGTCCTATTTAGCTTGCAAATTATGCACAAAATGAAGACAGGCTAGTTGTAGAAATATCACAGTAATAGCTTGCACAGAGGTATTGTATGTCATGTGGGGCAGGGCATAGGTGGAAAAGGAATGGACACATGGATATGCACACCTTGCTTTGCTCAAATGGCTTCACCATTGTTAGTTTTAGCCATTCTCAGATCACCCTTTTAGGATCCGAGAGCAATGCCACTTAAGTTAATGGGCAGTCCCAGCTGTACCTGAAAAGCCAATTGGCCCCAAATGTCTTCACCCAGTGATTTTTTTTACCCAGGTTACAAGCATGTGGTGACGTACAGCTCTTTCAGGATCCTCTCTTAATCTGCATTCACGCTCTTTCAAAATGAGCTCAAATGTACTCGGGAAAGGGGAGAGGACCCACAGCAGCACTGCATCTTGTCCCTGCCAGCAAGTGTCTTTGTCGATAACATCAGAATCCAACCAGAGAGTGGGTGAGGGAATAAAAGGCACAGGGAAACTTAAGGAAACAAACATCTGCTAAGTGGAACTGGATGGCTTTTGTCCTGCTTTTATGGAAGTCTCTGTGTGAGAGAAATACAGCTGAGTAGATATGTTCCTTTTTTAACCCTGGACTACTGAACAGACTGCAGCAAACTCCGCTGGAAGGTAAGGGGCTGCGCTATACTAGGAAAAGATTAGAAGAGCTGTGATGCAGCATGAGTTGATATACATCAGAGATACCTACTATGCGGAAACCACACCTTATGGACATGATACAGCCCACTCATCGGCGACCTGGGCTAGGGAAACAACTTGTGATAGACAGTGGATGATCAGTTCTGTTGCTCATTGCCCTGGTCCTCCCATCAGGACTTGCACACTAATCTTCTCTCCCACTCCCCCCCTCTACCATTGTCCTGTTTAAAACTGAAACCTATTTTGTGGCCTCTGCTCGCAGCCCAATATGGTTTTGGTTGTCAAGATCGTTCACATGGTTCTAGGTCAGGCTAAGCTTGAGGCCAGCTCCATCCATGGGAGGTGCAGGTGCAACCCTCTTGAGGATTTGGTCCAAAATTAGCAATAAAAACCACATGCATATACTGTACAAGGCTGGATTCTCCACTGCCGTAAGTGGGCGTAGCTCCCATGACATTAATAGAACTGCGTATGCCCATTTTAGTGGGAATTTGGCCCATTCTGTCTAGGTGTTGTAACACGATTCAGAATTTTTAGTTTCTAAACTTTCTTGGGACCTGATTCAAAGCCTATTGAAGTCAGTGGAGAAGGGCCAATGCCTTCAATTGACTTTAGATTGGGCCCTTGATGGGGGAGAAAAACAAGCTGTGCAATGTTTGTGGGGGATTTATTTTTTTATTATTATTAATCTACACAAAGCAAAAATGTGGGTATGACATACTGTAGCCATTGTTTAGAGCAAAAAAATTACTGCTCTGTTTAGTCTAATTAAAGCACATATGATAATTTAGGCACACATTTTCCCAACTGTTGAAGAAAACTTCAAGAATGATGCAATGCTACTCTTTATTTTATTTTTTAATAAGAGCAGGCACACAAGAGTTACATTGTTTATTTGAAGCAACTGACACGTCCCGTCAATTTGATTTTATCATCTTTGCCAATGTGAGGTGGTCGTGACAAGAACATTCTATGCTCCTATCTATAGAAGACAAGAGGAACCAGCATTCACATGGTAACAAATGTTGACAACTACCTTGTAATTATATGTAGGTAGTGTCACTGAATAAACTTAAATTACTGGGGAAATTATGCTGCTCTGTTATTTCAGTCATACAAAAGCATTCACATCTTAAGACTAAATATAATTTCAAGGAATAGAACCCCCTATGATTAATTAAGGTGTGGATATTGTTCGTGATTGTATGTGATGAAGTGATCTTTACAGTAGCATTAGAAACAAAAGGATTTTATCTGAGTTTGGTCCAATGCTTTTATGGTGCGACTTTCCTGATTAAAAAAATCAATCATAAAGGAGCAGAGTGAGATGCTAGCTTCAGTGTCAGCATGACCTTTCACAAGTGTAACACACACATCCTGTACTACTGAGCCCCTGTCTTATGCCTTCCTGGCTCTGAAAGCAAGAGAGCAGACAAAAACCCAGTGTGCCTGAAGTTTGACCAAAATAACTTGCAGGAACAGATCTGCAGTTTACATTTCCCATTCTGCTCCCTTTGTGCCACTAGAGTGGTGCTTGACTAACCTTTAATTCAGGTATTTCACAACTTGAGTGCTTGCCTTTGCAAACTTAATATCCTGGTAACAGTTTATTTTTAAGGCAAGTTCTTAAGTTTAAAAAAAGTCAAAATTGAAAAACCAAAAATTCCATCCTGTGGCACTATACTAAACCCCACACATGCATCATCAGCAGCGTTGAGCTACACCACTGTCCTCCACTTGAGCTAACAGAATAATTGGTAGTAGTGCTGTTAAGCAATTAAAAAAATTAATCGTGATTAATCGCACAATTAAATTTTTTGATTAATCGTGTGATTAATCACACTGTTAAAAAATAGAACACCTATTTTTATTACAAATATTTGCACTGTAAAAAACAAAAGAAATAGTATTTTTCAATTCACCTCATACAAGTACTGTAGTGCAATCTCTATCGTGGAAGTTGAACTTACAAATGTAGAATTATGTACAAAAAAATAACTGCAATCAAAAATAAAACAAAGTCCACCCTCTCCTACTTCTTGTTCAGTCAATCGCTCAGACAAACAAGTTTGGTTACATTTGCAGGAGATAATGCTGCCTGTTTCTTGTTTACAATGTCACCTGAAAGTGAGAACAGGCGTTCGCCTGATGGCACTATTGTAGCCGGCGTCACAAGATATTTACGTGCCAGATGTGCTAAATATTTGTATGTCCCTTCATGCTTTGACCACTATTCCAGAGGACATGTGTCCATGGTGATGATGGGTTCTGCTAGGTAACGTTCCGAAGCAGTCCGGACCGACACATGTTCACTTTCATCATCTGAGTCAGATGCCACTAGCAGAAGGTTGATTTTCTTTTGATGGTGGTTCGGGTTCTGTAGTTTCCACATTGGAGTGTTGCTCTTATAAGACTCAAAGCATGCTCCACACCTCGTCCCGCTCAGATTTTGGAAGGCACTTCAGATTCTTAAACCTTGGATCAAGTGCTGTAGCTATCTTTAGAAATTTCACATTGGTACCTTCTTTGCATCTTGTCAAATTTGCAGTGAAAGTGCTCTTAAAACGAACAACATGTGCTGACTGCTGAGACTGCTAGAACATGAAATATATGGCAGAATGCAGGTAAAACGGAGCAGGAGACACCATTCTCCCCCAAGGAATTCAGTCAAAAATGTAATTAATACTTTTTTTTTTTTTAAACAAGCGTCATCAGCATGGAAGCACGTCCTCTGGAATGGTGACCGAAGCATGAAGACGCATATGAATCTTTAGCATATCTGGCACGTAAATACCTTGCAATGCCGGCTACAAAAGTGCCACGAGAACGCCTGTTCTCACTTTCTAGTTACATTGTAAATAAGAAGAGGGCAATATCTCCCGTAAATGTAAATAAATGTTTTTGTCTTAGTGATTGGCTGAACAAGAAGAAGGACTAAGTGGACTTGTTTTACGTTGTTTTGTTTGAGAGTGCAGTTATGTAACAACAACAACAATCTACATTTGTAAGTTGCATTTTCAGAATAAAGAGATTGCACTACAGTACTTGTATGAGGTGAATTGAAAAATACTATTTCTTTTGTTTATATTATTTTATTACAAATATTTGCACTGTAAAAATGATAGTGAGCACTATACACTTTGTATTCTGTGTTGTAACTGAAATCAGTATACTTGAAAATGTAGAAAAACATCCACAAATATTTAATACATTTCAACTGATATTCTATTGCTTAACAGTACAATTAAAACTGCAATTAATCGTGATTTATTTTTTTAATCGCGATTAATCTTTTTGAGTTAATTGCGTGAGTTAACTGAGATTAATCGACAGCCCTAATTGGTAGCAGTAGAAGACTGTTATTTTATATGGACCGGCCACTAGAAAGGATGGACAGGCCCATTTTGTCAGTGGGTTTCACAGCTATTTGCTAGACAGCTGTCATAACTATAAAGGGAAGGGTAATAGCTGTCCTGTGTACAGTATTATAAAATCCCTCCTGGCCAGAGACT